GTCTTCACCATCACATGCGGGAGGTCCACGCTGCCAACACGTGTCCGCAGCACGTCCCCGCCTACGTACCTAGAGACCTTTCGCGGTGCACACATGTTTTCCTTCGCGTGGATAGCACGCGTGCACCTCTACGATCGCCGTACATCGGCCCCAATCGGGTCGTAACCCCCAAGGATAAGACCACGTTCATTGACGTTACCGGCAGAAGGGAAACGGTTAGCTTAGATCGCGTTAAGCCTGCTTTCCTCGAAAGCGCCACCGAGCACGTTTCCCTTACCCTACCCAGTGACCCAGTGTCTTTACGCCCGCCTCCTTCTACGGATCCATCCCAGACCCCGAGTACTCCCCAGGTGCCAACCCTTTTGCTGGTTAAACGTGACCGTCGTGGTCACGAAGTCCGCCGACCAGTCCGTTTTGGCTGCTAACTACTTCTTTTTTATTTTTTTCTCGCAGCTCGGGTAGAGGTCCCGTTTCACGCGTTTTCCCTAGTTTTCGTATTTGTCCGTAAATTTTACAAAAAAATAAAAAAAATCGCAAAATCTTTAAAACCCTAAAAACGACAAAATTCCAAACTCCAAAAATTGCTTTATCTGTTTTTTGTGGTTCCGCCATGCTCTCTTTCCACCCCAACTCCTCCCTTCTGCCAACAGCCATAGCGCTGTTATGCTCGCCGTCTCCTCTTCTCTTCCAGGACACCGTCTACGAATGGGATCGTCAGACGCTCGCTCTTCCTGGAACAAACGTCATTGTCGGATCAGGGTACGCATGCGCGAGGAGTGGGGTGTGGGGGGAAGAGGCTACTTCTATTCCACCGTCCGACGCCCTTCGGGTTTTGGTAGTCCGGGTCTTTTTTCTGGTTTGCCCCGGCCAGTTTTATTGACCAGGCAACCCGCGTGGACGGCCTTACACACCCGGCAGAAAATACACCATTGTGCTGGCGATAATGGGGCTATGGGCGAACCACTCTGTGTCCTGCAGTCCTCCTTGATGGTTTCTCTCCAGCGCACGTACAACACTCAGAGAATTTTCCCCTTCAACAAAGACAGTGTTTTACTGTCAGCTGCCGCAGTAGCACTTGAACTGGAACGTTTGTCCACGTGGCACCGACCGGCTCCGCAATCGTCCCGCCAGCCTGTCCTGACCGTCCGGAACTATTACATCACGCAGCCTGTTCATGACATCCACACACACGTACCATTTTCCCACGTCAATTGCCACAGACTGATTGACTATTGGATCCTCGTATACTCTACACTCCGTCACGTTACCTACAAACATATACACCGTGTTTATTTGACTATTCGAAGGTTTGTCGCTCCTCTCCAACCTTCTAGGGGGAGCTGTGTAGTGACAATATTTTCATCTTCCAACACCATTCCTCCGACACATGTAAAGGCCCTATTTTGTTTTATTGCCCTCATTTTCGAGAACTCATATGAC